AATGGTTCCTTATTATCATCAGTAAAAGTGAATTTACTTCTCTCCAACTTCTCGAAAACTGCAGTATTTTGTCATACGTAATATTTCTTTTTTGCAGAAAATCAGTTATTTTGAGAGATATATGCGGTTCTTTTGTTTTTTGAAAAGGAATAGGTAATTTTGCTATAAGAGCTATACGTAAAATCTAATTTATGCATAAGTAACGGATCTAGTGGACACGTGGATGCAATTTTCCATAATTTTGTAATTATTTGGCACAGACATAAAAGTAAAGATTGGGAAGACTTTTTTTCATATTCATAAAAACAAGACTTAGTTATAGTTAACTGAATTATGAATTATAGTCAGGCGCATTGTAGCAACAAATGTATTCTCTGCCGTTTAAATAAAATATTTCCAGATTTTGATGGTGAATCATTGATCACAGAGACATCGCTTTATTCATTATTATTCTAATTGCGGCATTTCCTTTTTGTACAGTTGTGCAAGGTGTTATTATTGGTTCAGTAGCACTGATAACTTTCTTCATTTCTCCACCAATAAATTGCGCAGATTTTTCCCAAAGCATTGCATAACTATTTCAAAGCACAATTATGTGATCGTTTAAATGATAATTGAACATTAGTATCAAAATAATTGTTTTGAAATAATATTAGTTAGTAGTGTAAGAACTGAAATGTAAATTGCACATAATTTCATTCGTGATGTGCCTTACTTTCGGTGGGATTTGGGACATTCTGTTAACTTTGACAGTATTATTAACTTATTTTCATACTAAATAGCTGTCTTTTCTTGCTTGTAAGTTGACTTTTAGGTGAATCGAGATGAGATAATTTTCACCACAAAATACGCAATTCTCGATAACAATAAAAATAATAGATGGGTGTGGTAATAATACATGAAGGGCGAAGATGCATTTCTTGTTGTAGAAGATGAAAGAGGAGAAAAATAAGCGATAAAGTAGGATGGTGATAAATAAATATATATATATATATAGAGAGAGAGAGAGAGAGAGAGAGAGGGAGGTTTTTTTTTTGTGTTATGGACCTGAAAAATGGATTCATCTGTCCTTTTCACTGTCTCTTCTCGTCTCATTGCCTCTATCAGTTTTTGGTTGCATTGATTTGAGAGTGAATTGCTAGTGTTGAACAGAGGAAGGTGAAAGAAGAATAGAAATTTCAGTTAGATAGGATAGGATAGGATAGTATTGAAAGGATGGAAGAAACGAACAGCAATGTTTCGTTTCAAATTATTCATCATTCAACGATTGTTATTGCTATTACTATCTCTTCGATATTCCTCTTTATTTTGATTTTGTGATGAGCTGTGTATATTGTTGATTCATTATTACAATCTTTTGTTTCTCATTTTCTTCCTTTTTATTTGTTCATTTTAAAATTATCACAACAGGTCACATTGACCGGATCAATACCTGTAAAGTAATGAAATGTACTGCTTAGTTGTTCTTTTGATGTTTTCACATTTCCTTCCTTATAATTGTTGTGTGGATCTGCAATATATTTTCACTAATTTACCTTCACTAATATTTACTAATATAATATTAAATTTTTCTTCACTAATATTTATATCACTAATTTATCAGTTACAGCACCTTCTATACTCTCCAGCATATGAATTGTTTGATTTCTTTCAATTTACTTTTTGCAATTTAAAACTTTTATAACTTTGAGAGGGCTATCCTTATCATTGAGCTGATTATATGCTAGCATAAAATTCTACTTCTGGAAGAATGGCTATTTGGTTTTTATCACTTATGGACATTATTTATTACTTTCACTTCGATCAGATTGCCATAACCTGAAAAATGTCCACGAAATCACACTTTTTTCATTTTGCGTCACTAATGTAAAAAAATGAATCTTCTATAGTGTTTACGTCTTCGAGAGTCGTTATTTTTGATTATACATAACTTGAATGATGTTCACTATCTTATTTAGAAACATTTAGATTAACGGTAATGGCCGAACATAGCTTCTATGCGGTGGGACATGGCAAGAAACCAGGCGTATATGAAAAGTGGGCGGATGTGCAGGAACAGGCTTGTTTTCCCGCACTTGTCACTTGCATGGCCTTTTCTAAATACAGCTTTTTATACTGACTTTGAATAGTCTATAGTCAACGTTGACTGAAAAATCAGATAATAAGGTATTCGACACTGATCAATTTTCTTTTTCGAATCACTGAGGCTGTTGACACACTTCTTCCGAACTAACATTATTTTATCTTATTGTGGCTTTCTATCATTAATAAATTTTCATAATGTTCATGCTAAATTCAGTTTAGTTTTGCAGATAAGGGATTTTCCTCAACCAGTTTATAAAAAATTTGCTACAAAAGAGGAAGCTGAGGAATATGTGAAAGTCCGACGACCGGAAAGAATTTCATGTTGGTTGTCACTTAATTTTTTGCAGATTATTTTGTCGAATATTACAATATCTGAGGCATATATATTGAAAGACTAATTGTTTATGTATGAAATGCCTTTCTGAAATACTCTTTTATCGTTGTTTATTGCATGAACTTCATATGATTTCGATGTTTATAATTTTCAAAGGTTATTTTAACGATAATAAAAGAAACGAATGATTTATAAAAATTGCGCTTGTAAAACGATTTCAGTGGAAGTGGATGAGGAAGCGGATAAATTTTATGCAGTTGCTCGAGGAAAAGTTGTAGGAATATTTACAGATTACAATGAAGTTAAGAATCATGTGAGAGAAATACTGCATTTCTTTTATCATTTGAGTTGAGTGAAAAATTCTATTCCACATTTTTTCAGTAAGAATTCTAAACGTTTATTTGCCTTAATTTATTTATAATTGAACTATACAAAAAAGAGTTCCAGATAACCGATTATCCTCAGCCATTGTACAAGAAATTCGAGAAATTGGAGGAAGCAAAAGCTTATTATATGAAATATTCGAATGGAGAAGAGGATGGTAATCCAAAAGGTTTTGTTTTCATTTACATTTTCCCTAGGATTTGAACATTTTTCGGAAGCATAGTGTAATGGTTATTTCAGAACATTCTATGATTTGCTTCAGAACAGCTGTGACGCTCTTAATTTATCGAAATTGTTAAAAAATAGTCTGGCACGATGTAGCTTTATGCTGATAAAAAGAATAATTGCTTGATATCTTTATCACTTCTTATGGAATGGAATACTGACTAAATGGTATTCAGCCGATATGGATAACTAATTTTCTATTTACAAGGGAGCATACCAAACCAATGGATTTACAAAGTGGAACAATATGGAACGACACGAAAGGGAATGAAAAAGAACACGAAATCAAGTTTAATGATATCATGCCAAAATGAGTGTTAGATCGAGCATGTAATTAGTAATTTCAGAATCAAAAACTCATAATACAGCAACGGATAACAATGAGGAAGAAGTAAAAGAGACGGAAAATATGGAAGAGAAGAAAGAGGCGAGGATAACATCGATTCTTGCTTGATTAATAAACACATGATTAATGCTTCCTTATGTTCTCTTTGTCCTTATAGCAATGTGTTGTTATTGTCTATGATTTAATTTTAGAGTAAGTTTACTTTCTTCCTGTAAATTTCAGCAAACTAACAAAGGACCATTATTCTACGCTGTTGCACATGGCCATAAAACCGGTGTATTCAAAACATGGGAGGAATGTCTGGAAGCAACGAAGGATTTCAAAGGTGCCAAATTTAAGAAGTTCGACAATGAGGAAGATGCGAAATTGTTTGTTGAAGGAAGAAACATTAAGGAAGCAGGTAATCGTGTTAAATTATTTATCATGATAGATTTAACAAAGACAACTTGTATTCTCTTTCGACAAATATCGGTTTTAAATGTATGTTTTATTTCAAGTATATATTTTATTGTCATTACTTTCCAAAATTTACATCTGAAGTTGTAGAAGGTCGTAAGAGGGCTCATAGTCCAAATGACGTAGAAGATGATGTCGAGGAGAAATCAGCAAAAAAGGGCTAAAATAAATGCCTGAAGAAAAGGGAGCTTTGTATTTTACATTGAATTAATGTGATTATTTTATATTCAGACACTATTTTCGTAGACTTTGTTGATATTTTTAAAGGTTTTTTCCCGACAATTGTAAATATAATAATGAAGTTTTTTATCCTAAAGGCTTATTTTTCTCAACGATTTTTTGTAGTTTATTATGTTGAAATTAGTAACAGATATTTCTTTTAACATTGTTAGTTTTGTTTTCTTTAGCGATTTGTTACAGCTTTATTTTCATATATCATTTTTTCTAATAATTCTTCCTTAATGAACATAGCAATTTTTTTGTTTATCTTTTTTGTGAGAAATTTATTAGTCATATACAAAAGATCACTGATGACCTTGGTTTTGTTTTCTTCTATTTTCCTTGATGTTTTCCTGTTTTACTCTACTCTTCATTCTTTCTACTTGACAACAGAACCAGCAAGATATTGTGCACTTCTCTTTCTTTTTGAGTAATTCTCTGTTGGTGCATCTATTTGGTGAATGTTAAAAAATTGTGAACAGTAATTATTTTGTGAATTTTCAGTTCATTTTTTTTTATCACTAAAAAAACATTTGTTATTATACTTCGACTGTTAAATGAATTTTTTGCTAAAATGTCAAGGCTAGCATAGCATCATAAGAAATGATCTGTTTTGGTGGCAGTTGACATATATTTGCGTAGTTATAAGCCGGTGTCAGTAGTTCCATTGAAATTGTAAAATCTTCGAAGTTATTAGCTTTGAATCTTTTGAGTTTAACTGATTAGGCTGAATGTTGGAGGACGGTTAATTTTTCTTTTCAAACTTGCAGTTCTGATTTTCCAGTTTCCATGTGTTATACAACGAATAATATTATGAGTCTTTTCCAAAAAATATTCATATTTCGAAATCGGTCATTTGAGTTATTTAAGGTTGTTTTCAAAGGAACCTAGTAGAATGTTCGGTTAAATTAATTTTTATATTCCAGTGCTACCTAATACCTAACATTGAGAATGAAAACTGGCTACTATGCGGTTGCTCGAGGTCGTTGCACTGGAGTCTATAAGACTTGGTCAGAATGTGAAAGGCAGGTGAAAGGATATCGAAATGCTAGGCCGGTGCTTCTTTAATCTAAATTATTAATGATTATGATGTTATCGTTGCACCGAGCAAGAGCATTCAATTAATGTTACAACTCCTTTATTCCAGCAAAAAAAAAAAAAGCAAATCTTGGCTAAACATTTGACAAAAATTACGGTTTTTTCTTAAGTGACCTTGAAATTTGTAAAATTTCATTCTGTAAAATTTTTGCAAAGTTTTGTAGTTTATAAAACTTTTATAAACTAGAAAGGTGTTTTATGAAAATTTTAAAAAAAAATTTCGAAGATGACATGAAAGTTCAGTGATGTTATTTTCAGATACAGAAAATTCATTAAACAAAGTGATGCACTTGCTTTCATTTTAAAGAATAGCACATCTAACCATGCAGGTATAACCTCTAACTTTATTAGACAATTGCAAAATCTTTTCATATTGGAAGATGAAATAGTTCAATCTGAACTTTCCCAGTTTATTAAAGCTTATACTTAAAAGAAACAGTATGTAAGAAAAAACTATTTTAAAAAAAGATGTTATAACAAACATACCATCTCCTGCATTTTCACAATCTTCATTATAAAATTAAAAGTTAACCATATAAAAGAAGCTAATAATAGTTTTATTTTCGTCTTATTGAATAGGAGATGGAAAAAGTTCACAATCTGAACTATCTTCAACAGCAGAATTGCAGAAATTATCATCGTATGTTTTGTACTTATGACAATTACTTTCGTTTGAATGTTATCTAGCTAGAGAAGTGTCTGTTGAACTTAGAAATTTCACAAGCTTTAAACAAGCCAATAAGTAGGCATCACTATGTATTGTTTTATGAAAGATCGAATACCATTATCTCATCAATTGAAGGGATAAACAGAAAAATTAACTAGTACTGATTCCAGTAGCTTTTTTCAAGAACAGATGAAAGTTCATGATAACTCTGATAAATAGCTGGATTAGAACTATATTGTTTAAGAGTATGAATGTTATAAAAGAGACAAACTTTCCTGATACAAAGGTTTTCGTATTGTATGTGAATTAGCGAGAAACAAATATCATGAAATTGGTTTTTAGCTCAAAACCATCATTTTCCCAAAAAGAGAATATATGGGAAGGAATTCCCATTGTATACACAGATGGTGCTTGTTCCTTTAATGGTCAAGTTGGAGCTACTGCTGGAATTGGAGTTTATTGGGGCGAGCAGCACGTTGATAACATTTCCGAACCACTCCTTAGAGGACCACCGACCAATAATAGAGCTGAGCTTGAAGCGGTTATAAGGGCTGTACAAATGGTAATCTTAATTTCTAGAATTCTGATTTTAATATTTGTTTATTTTACATGATGAGAATTCAAAGTTCGGTATTTCAAATTTTTACAAAATGAAATGTTTATCTTATTACTTGTTCAGGCAATTCAACGAAGGTATCGCCAACTTATTGTTCGTACAGATTCCAACCTTCTGATTCAAACAATGAATTCATGGATACATGGCTGGCAAAAAAATGGTTGGAAAACATCAAATGGTACAACTGTCAAAAATCAAGATCTCATTATTGAACTGAACGGCTTGCTTAAAAACATAAATGTTAGTAAATATTTTAAGATTCTATTTTCATGAAGCGCTACTGGGAATGAAACATTTCACATTCCCTTCTTTTTATATAGAAAATATTTTGATGTGCCAAGAGCTTAGGGTCATATGAACTTAAATCCCTTATCCGCGTTTTTCTTTTTTTTTTTTACTAGAAATTCTTTTCTTTAATCGAACCATGACATCAACTTATACGTGTAGTATCCTTCGATAGTACCTCTCACCAAGACTAGAAATTCATCGCATCACATTTTCAGCTAATCATAAGACTACATGTATTCAGAAAGCTTCATAACAATAAACTTCAAACATACAGTAGCTAAATGCATGATCGTTAAAAGTTAGTCTGATTGGAAGTTATAAAAAGTCTTCGAAATTCCACTCGTTACATGTGTACTCAGCTTGCCTAGTTGCAGGTACGTTTCGAGCATGTTGCTGGACATGTAGGAATATATGGGAACGAGAAAGCAGACCAACTTGCCCGAGAAGGAGCACTTCATTATCATCAAACCAAATCCTAATGATGAGGATGGAATGAAGCAAAAACTTAATATCGGTTTACTATTATTTTTTTTCCTACAAATTTTTTCTCATCTAAACCAAACTTTGTTGTTCAATTATAAAGCTCAGTTCAACAGCTCATCTTGCTACCTAGTCATGTAACAATAGCAACAACAGATATACTGGCACTTCTAACTCAACATTTTTCGCTGTCTGGAATTCGATATTTCAGTTTTTTTTTTTTTGCTAGCAAAAATTCTTTTCTCGACAAATAAATTAAGTGAAGATAAAATTCACAACGAACAAAAATTTTACAATACAAATGTATCGCAGAGCAAAATGAACAATTTCGTTTATTAAGAAAGTACTTTGAACCCGACTGACCATAAGCTAATTCTTGAGTTTAGTATTCTTAGTATTTGTTGTGTATTGATTTGTACGCTAACAGTTCATTAAATAAAATGTATATCTTCCTTATTAAAGGCTAGCAACAACGAAAGGAAATCCTCCATATCCATCTGCCTTGCACGTTTTAACGCAAAACCACTTTCTGTGATGATATGTTCCACTTTATCTTTCATGCTAAATGGACTCTCGATTTCCTAGAAACAAATTTCTGCTTAGGCACAAATTTCTTAGTAAACAATTCACCTTAAAATTGATGGAAAATTTTAGAATTAAAAGATTTTTTATAATATAATATAATTAATATACCTTATTTTTAATGCTGCAAAGAGCCCTGTAGCTCTTTTCCAGTGAGTCACACACCTGATTATTTTTAAATAGAGATAATAAAGTTTTATTCTTTCTAAGAAAAATAATCCTAAGCAGACTGTCCCATTCCTGAAAATCTTGACAAAATATTAGCAAGTTAACTTAGCAGTGCTCATTAGTTGCTTAATGATTTGGAAAGTTTCCGCTATTTACAGCTACAAGAATAAAAAACATATCGTATTAAGAAGTGTAATCTGGGTATATTTATAAAAGTCATCTTTTTTTAAGTGCACAAAATCATTTTGTTACATAATTGTTCTGTAACAATGGAACTGTCTGCCGTCGGTGGTATTAGTCTACTATTGAAAAATCATTTAATTTGCGAAGCAGGCACCTTGCTTCACATTTCCGCAAATCGCTCAGCAACAGAATGAATACGCATTAAAAATGAGAACGTGTTCTGTATTGATACATGTGCATTATTGTACACTCTTATCAAATTATGATTTCCACTATATAAATGGGGAAATTTTTATGTATCAAAAAGAATCAACCTGAAAACTGATTTGAGGAGGAGGATTTCTTGGTGCAATGCGTACGACAGCTGAATCAACTTTTGGTGGTGGTCGAAATTCTGTTCGCTTTACCTTCATTAAATGTTCCACCTGTAAGGAAAATTCTAATCAGTGTAAATAATGAATAAATGCACAGGACTTTAGTGAAGTTGAAACCCTTGAAAACCAAATCAACTATAAAATGAAACAATTATCAGGCATTTTCATCATGAAAGGAATGAAACAGAAATACCTACTTGTGCAAGGAACTGGACATTCACACTTAACCGACAGTATAATTTATTGCCAGGTTTTGCTAATAATCGATCCGCAAATTCCTTTTGGAACATTAATACAGCATATCTGAAGTGCATTGCATAAAACTGTCACAAGATTACAAGAACTCTGTTGAGAAAAGATAGCTGTTTATCCTTTGACTCTACGATCTTGGAATTTAAAAATCACCTAGGCAAGGGCCGCTGCAATAACAGCTTAAATACAAAGGGCGATGAGATCTGATACGGTAGATTGGCAACACACACATCAAAAAAAGGCCATTCCGTTTTTATAACATCACCTTGTCTCACTTCCAGTTTTTGCTGATTTGATCTGTAAACTTCAAAATGATAGTCATATTGTATTGAGTCAGATCCAGTCTATAACATTAGATTTACAGGAAAAATCCGAAAAGATAAGAGGAATCGCTCACGTCCCAATCACTCGTTTTTTCAGTTCAGCGATCATTCGTCGATCAATTTCGCATGCAATCACCTTTTTAGCTTTTCCTAAAAGCGCTACTGTCAAATTACCAGTACCAGATCCAACTTCGAAAACAGTATCCGTTGATTTGATTGCTGACTGTAAAACAGCTGGACAGTTTTCCAAGCTCAAGAAATTCATGACAGCATGTCATTAGTTAATATATTTATTCTAACATTATTCTTTTTGTCTACCGAAATTCTTTTTATAAAATTATCACGAAAATATTCCAGAGCTATCATGCAAAACATCTTTTTACTTCATGATAGCATGTCGTTAGTTAATAATTAAGATAGTGATAATTTCCACTCTTATGCAGTGATTTTCAGAGATATATTAACATAGATTTGAATGAATCAATTGAATTTCACCTTTTCAACAATGGCATTAACAATTCCCGGATTCTTCAAAATGTGCTGACCACGATCAATATTGAAAGGAAGGGCTGCAAATTGAAAATAACAGGTCTTATGTACCACTCCATTTCAGCATAACTGTTAAAAAGGTATTTTTTATAATGTTTACCTTGCATATTGCCATTGCTTTTTGATGCATCTTTTATCCTTAATTTAGCTTTACCCATAATGACTGAAATAAAATGCATTTAAAAAAATTAGACTTAAAAAAGTTATTTTAGTAGTAATAAAACTGCAACACAATAGGACTTATTAGAATACTTTATGTAGAAAATAATTCTGAGGGAACTAAATTCATCTGTCTCTTCAGATAAAAAACAAAAAACAAATTCTTTTCGGTTAGTTGACTCGCTCTTTTGCAGATCCAAGAAAACAATATTAAAGCATACCACCAATATTTCTGCTAATTTTCATAGATTTCACAAAAAGTCATAAAGTCAAAGATGACATAAAGAGAGGAGAAGAAAAACTGTTGCTGACAGAAATCTCAAGGCAATATAAACTAGCCACCCACTCAACCACCTGTCCACTCTGAAAGGACTCACTAGATCTAAAATATCGCTGAGTGATGATGATAGCTATTGGATTGCAAATGATGGTCATTATGATCATCATGTTCTCACCTCTAACTCATTTCATACCTGTTTATAACCCTTTCAAGAATAATAGCAATAATTTGTTAAAATAACATTTCGCAGCCCTTTTGCAAGTCCGTTGGATATGGTTTGCTTAATCAGTTCTTTCATCTTTGTAAAAAACATCGCTGTATAAATTATCTGATAATTGTGTGCTAACCATTTCACTATTACTTATTTTTAATTACTTAAGATATTATTAAATATATATTCTTAATTACTATAAAATAAGATATTGTTAAATATATTGGTACATTTTAATCCTAATATTAAATTAATTTATTTTGTAGTTAACATATATTCATAATCAATCACTTTTTAATATATCCATTAAAAGAGTTTGACAATAAAACGATTCATTAAAAGGTGCTACTCAAATTGCAATGAAAAAGAATCTTATTGGGAATTAGAAATTATTTAATTTCAAATTACATCAGTAAGTCAACATAAAAAGAAATAATATTCAAGTTTTACATAGCTATGCTGAATTTCGGCAATGGGACATTTGGATTAATGATCAATCTACTATTGTTATTATTGTTGTTGCGTTTAACTTCAATCTCCTATTAGTTTATCGAGGTCATTGGTCTCAGTTCATTTGAATTTTTAAAAATTAGACAACGAGATGTTATCATCTTATCAACATATTAGTGTACCTTTTATTCTGAGTGAAATCATTTACGTTTAGTCATTTTATCACTTTATCACAGCAAAAGTCAGATGAGAAAACTTTCTTGCACTATAGAAAACGGTTTAAAAAAAAAAAAAAAAAAAAAAAGAAATAGATCTATCGATAATCGATTGAAAATTTTTGCGAAAATACTGAATTATGATGACTAGGATTGGTGAATGATCCTGAATGAACTCCTTGAAACGTTTTCCATTTGAGATCTTCAAACAATGACAATCGGTAAAGCAGAAAGACAGGAAAGGAAAAGATTCCATAGGTAAATATATGGAATATGACAGATCTTTTCAACCAATTTTTTTTTTTTATTTTATCAAACTATTCCAAATCATTCAATTCATTACTTAATCAAGTCTTCTTATTCTTTTCAATTCAACTTTTTCAATAAGCATTGATGATTTTTGCTCGACCTATATATTTCTGAAATTATTTGTTTTTTTTTAATTAATGTACCACAGAACAAATGATGTTTTTGATGTCTTCCTGAAACTTTTATTTTTTAAACTAAAAACTTTCATACCAGAAAGAAAAAAGGAAAAAAAAACAAAGTGCTTCAAATCTGCCACTGAATGATTAAGTGATTAAAAAGTTAGGAAGAGTTCTTCCTTTCGACAGTTAGCTTTGAAATCTTTTCTTGGTTAGTGAACAGTATTAAATTTAAAATCCATATAAGCATATAAAATTTAAAAATATTTCGAGAGGTCAAGAAATTTTGTGATAGAGTAAGATTGATAATATAGCGAATTAGAATTTAAACAAAAAGCATAATATATATTATATATTAAATATATGTGTGCCTCGAGAATACAAAATATTATATGCAGGAATTATTGATAACAATTTAAGACTTTAAATTTTATTGTCAAACAAAACGAAGGAACTGTATAACATGTTCATAACATACAATTTAATGTATTTCATCTAAATCTATATACTCAATAGAAAACTTAATCAAAATGATTATCGCTGACCTTATTACACAATTCATTTCAAATATATATTTTTTGATTCAAATTCATTTCAAAATATTTTTTTTTCAAAAATCATATTTTCATTTTAATGTACCCTCTAACTTTTATATCTATAAGAAAAGATCATTTTTAGATTATATTATCCTAGAGATGATCTTATTTCGATTTATTATTTCATAGGACAAGCATATCACATTTGAAGTAATATTTTTTTTTTTTTTTGTTTCTGGTAAACTATATTTATCGAAATGATATAATATCACTTATATTACTTTCTACTCTT